ACAGGAATAACAGGTTGATGAGGACCCTGCTCAAATGAGCTTAGCATCATTAAAGGATCACTATAGGGTCAGGAACTCAAACATGTATTCCTGAGCCTATAGTGAAAACCCACCACTTGCCTCACCCCCACCCCCCGATCCCTCAGAATGGGTTAAAACTCTCCTTATTTTCAGCTCTCCACAGGTCCTCCAGCGCTGGCCCCGCCCCGCTGTTTTGGCCAATTATCACCTCCTCATAGAGATGCATTGAATCAATGCATTTCTGTGAGGGGAATTCAGCGTCCCTATGCAGAGCGTGGGGACGCTGAACGGCAGGGCTGCTTACTGTGCAGTCCTGAGCCAGGAAGCACCTCCTGTGGTGCCGCATGGTGAGACCCAGCTAAGCTGTCCAACTTAAATTTCACAACAGAAAGCAAATCAAGCAAAGTATGCTCTAACCTTGATCAAGCTTGCTGTTCACCACTACAGGAACTACATCTGTCTTTCTACAACCTTCTGGTTCAATTCTTGAAAGAAAAGCAACTTCTTGCTGTAGCACCTTGTCTTGAGTCTTCCAATCACAATTTTTCCACAGGTTTTTTGCAGCAATCATTTGTATATCTCCTCCTGATTTCAATTTATTTCTTTTATAATTTATTGCCCAATTGTGCATTCCGAAATTCGGGATTTATGCAATTCGGGACTTCGGCACTTCGGAACTTGGCCACTTTGGAACTTCGGCAACTTCAGGAACTCCGGCATTTCGGGACTTATCTAGCAGCCGCTTGGTAGATAACTCCCTATTTCCCACGGTAAAATACACAGCGTGGGAAAATTCCAAAGAACTTTCCCACGCTGTGTAAAATGACACAGAGCACTCTGATTGTTGCATTTCAAACCAACCAATCAGAGTGATGTGACAGGTAAATGTAGAGACTTACCTGGGTGAAGATGGATTATTTTTTTTTGCGCTTGGGTTTTTTTTTTTTTTTATTGCGTCGGTTATTATGGATTTTTATTTGGCCTTTTTTGGGGCTGAAAAAAAAAGATTTTAGAGGAAAGAAAATATCAAATGGTAAGTTTTTTTGTTTGTTTTTTTTTTAATATAATTTTTATTTGTATAGGTTAGTCAAGATTCAGAGACTCGCAGGTCTCCAAGGTGAGTTATCAGAAGGTAAGAAAACATAAGAAAACGTTGATTTTTTAGTTGGGCTCGCAGGCCCACAATGTTGACGGACTTGCAAGTCCCTTTTATCATATTTCACGAGTATCTCTCAATTACATTTCCTACTGTGACTTGGCCTAGTGAGCGGGTCGTATGTTTATGATTTATACATTTCGTTTACAGCAGTTGTAGTTTGTGTACAGAATATGTTGAGGCTCGCAGGCCTCTCGTCCAACCTCCGTCGTTAGGAGACTCACTGGTCTCTTCGTCCTGAGTTGTGTATTGTGTCCTGAGTGGATTCGTGCGTCCCTCCTCTCAGTGTCTTGTGTGTCGTGTGGGTGAGGGTGCGTCTGTGTTATGGGTTTGTGTTTCATATTTTCGGGAGGGCGTATTTTGTAGTATTTTGGTGTAGCTCTCGGGCTGTCCAATGATTATCATAACTGTTCGTTATGTGTGTTACGGGGGTGGTATCTCTTGCTGGTCGGGATAGAAACACGAATCCGTATGAGTTTTACGTTCAGGTCTCAGGTGTCTCTTCTTATTAGTATGTGTGTCTACTCGGATTGGAGTTGTTGTCCCATGTGGGTCCTTAGGAGGGGGGAGGAAAGTCAGGGTTGGGGTGGGGGGGTGTAGGATAGTCAGTTATCTATCATCGTCTGTCATCCAGTGTGTGATCCCTAAGTCCTTTCTGTCTGTGGTGTGGCATTTGTCGGATCTAGTTCCATTTGGAATCCTTCCTTCGCCATCTCTAGGATCCAATGTGTCCATATGTCCATGTAGGTCGTCGGGGTAGCATTGGTCGTCAGGGTCAGTTCCTCTATTGTCCTTAGTTCCTCCATTTGGCTGAACCAGGTCTTAAGTGAAGGTGTTATGTTCTGTTTCCAAAATTGGGGGAGCACTCGTTTGGCTACATTGAGTATTCGAATGGTCATAGATTTTTGTATTTGGAGTGGCGAATAGAAGTGTGATGCAGGAGCATTGCTGCCAGTTCCAGGGGGGGTGGTTTGTCCGTGAATTTCTCTAGCATTTTGTGTATATTTCGCCAATATGGTTTGATCTTTGCGCAGTCCCACCATATGTGTGTTATGCTGCCTACCTCCTGTTGGCATCTCCAGCATAGGCCGGGTTGGTCTGGTGAAGGAAGTGAGGTGTCCTGTACCATTGTGTCAGTAGTTTGTAGGCTGTCTCTTGCGTTTTGTTATGTGTAGATCAGTGGTGTGTGAGATAGCATATGGACTCCCACTCCTTATTTGTCAGTGTGTATCCGAGGGCATCCTCCCATCTCCTCATAAATAGGGGTGTCTCGGTCGGAATGTCCATTTGTAGCATGGTGTATAGGAAAGACACTCCATGCGGGAGCGGGTCTGGGTGCATACAGACCACTTCTAGTGTGGTATGTTGTCTAGTAAGCGCTGAGCCCTGTGGTAAAGTATGGACGAAGTTGATTAGTTGAGTATATCTAAAGTGCTGCATGAAGGTTGGGTGTGTCCCTGTCATGTCTGTCAGTTTTTTGCATTTCCCTCACTGCAGGGCATGGTGTAAGCATGGGTGTGGGTCTGGGAGGATGTCTTTGAAGGCTCTTGGGTCTAGTCCCGGGGGGAAGTTGTCATTGTGCGTCAGTGGTAAGAGGGGGGAGGGATATGGTGACATGGTCCCTTTCCTCATTGCCCTCCTCCATACTTTCATGGTGTGTTTTGTGTAGATGGGCATTTCACCCCATTTTGCCGTATCTCGGCCCCAGGGTAGTCCCGAGAGTAGTCTGCCCGCCTCTGTCTCTTCCACCGTCTTCCATAATTTGTGCACTCCGTCTTTGGACCACTCCACTATTCTCTGTAGATGTGTGGCCACGTAGTATAGGTGGAAGTCTGGGAGGGCTAATCCTGCTTTATGCTTAGGTCGCGTCAGGGTGGAGAATTTCACCCTAGGTCTCCTCCCGTTCCATATGTATCTGGTCATTTCTGTTCTAAGAGTATTAAAAAAGGGACCTGGGATCTTGATGGGGATGGCTTGGAGGAGGCGTGGAAGGAAGTTCATTTTTATAACCTGTACTCTCCCTAACCATGAGATGTGGGGGTACGACCATTCCCGCATGTCTTTTTGGAACGTCTGGAGTGTATCTGCGAAATTTTCCTTGAACATGTCCTCACTTCGTTTGGTCAGCCAGATTCCCAAATATCTAATTTTGTGTTCGGCCCAATGGAAGGGGAAACTTAGTCGGAGGGGGTTCGCCCACGCAGTAGGGACGTTTACGTTAAGAATGAAGGATTTACCGTAATTAATTTTCAAGTTGGAAATTTCCCCATATAGCTGTAGGTCCCTCTATATGTTCGGGAGGGAGATTTCGGGATTCGTTACCATAAAGAGTAGGTCGTCTGCGTAAGCGGCTACTTTGTGGTGTGTATTGCCTGCCATTAGTCCGGTTATGTCTGTGTTGTGTCAGATGTGTGTAAGGAACGGTTCCAGGGCAAGGACGAACAGGAGTGGGGAGAGGGGGCATCCTTGTCTCGTGCCGTTCTGTATTGTGAAGGCGTCAGTTAACGCCCCATTGACCAGCAACTGGGCCGTTGGTTCTCGGTACAGTGCCTTTATCCAGCATTGCATGTGTGGTCCTATTCCTACGTGGGCAAGTGTTTCGAAGAGATATGTCCAGCCGACTCTATCGAAGGCCTTCTCTGCGTCTGTTGACAGCAGGAGAAGGCCCCCTTTCGTACCCTCTTTCCCGTGCATGAGGGTGAGCGCCCTGATGGTGTTGTCCCGAGCCTCTCGATCTGTCACGAATCCCACCTGGTCTGGGTGGATCAGTGATGGGATGTGTTGTGTGAGTCGAGTCGCCAGAATTTTGGACAGTAGTTTGATCGCTATTTATAAGTGAGATCGGTCTGTAGTTTCTGCATTGTTCCCTGTCTTTGCCGTCCTTGGGAATAATAGTCATGTGGGCTGTTAGGGCTTGTCTGGGGATGTGGTTTCCGTCTCTTATCAAATTGAACGCTTCTACCATGGGTGGGTATAAGTCTTCAGCGTATTTAGTCGGTAAGCTTTTGCCCGGTTTGGTTTGTTTAACCGCCAGTGCTAGTTCCTCTATTGTGATGGGTTCGTCTATTACCTCCGCTATCTCCGCGTCGAGTCTCGGTGTTGGGTATTTTGTCAAGTAGTCTCGGATAGAGTCTCTGAGGCGTGTCGTCGCTGCGTTGGTCTTCGGTTGGGGGAGCGTGTAGAGATCTGTGTAGTATGTGCGGATCGTTTTCATAATGGCTGTCGGGAGTCAGTGTAGGGTCCCATGTTTGTCTCTAATTTTGTCAATGTATGTGTGTTGCCTCTGCTTCTTCAGCATCGCGGCTAGGAGTTTGCCGCTTTTGTTCCCATGTACTGTAAAGAAGGCTTTGTGCCTAGTCGCGTCCCTGTGATGTTTAGAGTGCAATAGTGTGGCTAGTTCCCGTCTCAGTTGTAGGAGTCGAGTTTGGTGTGTGTGGTTCGGGGTTTGTTTGTTTTGGTTGTCTGTCTCGTGTATGTTGGTCAGCAGTTCCTGCAGCCGAGCTTCAGCCTGTTTCTTTAGTATTGCCCCCTGTTGTATGTAGTGGCCTCTTATCACGCTTTTGTGTGCTTCCCATCGAATCGTCGGGGATGTTTGCTCTGCCGTGTTAGTTGTCAGGTAGTCCTTGATTTTTTCACCTATTAGGGTTGCGACCTCTAGTTTGGAGAGTAGGTATTAGTTCAATCTCCATTTCGAGGTCGTTGGGCGGTAAAGTGGTGATTTAAGTTTGAGTAAGACTGGGGTGTGGTCTGACCATGTGGCCACTCCGATTGTTACTTCGGACACTAGGGAGAGGTCGTAGTGTGTGGTGTAAATGTGGTCTATTCAGGAGTAAGAGTTGTGCGGGTGGGAGTAGAAGGTGTAGTTTCTTAAGTCTGGGTGGTGGGCTCTCCAGCAATCCACAAGTCGTCGGCTCCGAAGTAGGGATTTAATAGTTTGAAGTTGTTGTGTGGGGACGTGGGAGATGCCCGATGAGTTGTCCCATGATGGGTCGAGAGTTATGTTAAAGTCGCCCCCCAGTATGAGAGTCCCTTCTGCGAATTCTTGGAGTTTGCAGAGTGTCTGTTTGAGGAAGCGGTAGTGTTGTTTGTTTGGGGCGTAGATGTTTGCGAATGTGTACTGGTGGTCTGCGATCTTCCCTTTAAGGAATAAGTATCTTCCTTCATCGTCTGTTTTGCATCCCCCCTCCTGGAACGGCACCCACCTGTGGAGAATTATTGCTGTCCCCCTAGCCTTACCCCCTTGATAGTCACTGTAGTATCCTTGTGTGTAGTGCTGATTAGTCAATTTGGGACTGGTCCCTTTTTTTAAGTGGGTTTCCTGTATCATGACTATAGAGGCCCTCTGTTTGTGGAAGTCTCTCAATGCTCCTGATCTCTTCTCTGGTTTATTTAGGCCTTTAGCATTGATTGTAAGGATGTGTAAGTGGTCTGGGGTCAGTGTCATATCGTCGAGTCAGGTTGTTGTCGACGGGTGTTGTGGAAGTGTCTTTGTCTTATGTTCCTATGGTGTGTGTAGTCTCAGGAGGTCTCACGTTCTGCTGTCGGTGTCAGGTTGGGGAGTCAGGTGTTGGGGTTTAGGTAAGGATTAAGGGGTTGAGGTAATGGAGTAGTCTGGGAGGTTCCCAGAGACCTCCGTGGTTTGCGTCACAGTTCGTGACGACTAGGTAGTGGCGTCGGGGAGCGTCAGTTCACGGCACCACCAGTGGTGCACATGGGATGCTCACTTTCTGGGTGACGCCTCGCCTGCTGGGCAGTGGTTGGGCGTCCAGGCGTCTGGGACAGTGTCCTAGTGGTGTGTCCTATCTCGTGGCTTCCCTATGCGTCTCCTTAGTGATTACTCCATAGGAGTGTGCGTGTTTTTCCCCGCCTCGGGGTGTGGTGGTTCTCGGGCTTGTGTGGATGAGTGTCTGTCTATGCACGCGGTCTGTTTGTTTGTGGTTGAGTTGCAAGACATAGACATTAACAGTATTATTAACATTTCGGTTTAAAATCACAACAGGTGAAAACAAAACAAAATTCTGACAGCTCTTATTTCAAGTTCGTGCACAGTTTACCTCTGCCTCCCTGCGTCCCAGGTTCCCACCCGCCCGCCTATCTAGTGTGTTCTTGTGTCCCTTGTGTCTTGGCGTCATGTTCACTAGTTTTCTCGAGATGTGTGGGTGTCCCTGGTAGGGGTTAGAGAGTGAAGGTTGTTCCCATGGGTGTGGGTCTAACTGGTGTATCCTTTTTCTCTGCCTCTGTGGCTTTATGGGGTGCACCCTTCGTAGTGTTCCCTGGTGTGTTGTGCTTCCCTCCCCCTGTTCCAGAGGTGTGTGACTGTTCGGTGGGTGATTATGATTTGGTCTTCTCGGTTTTGTTGCTTCCCATCTATCCTGGGTGCTGGGCCGGCGCCCCCACCCCGGGTGTGCCCTGCCGGCGGAGCCCCCCACCTACTCCCCGGGGTTCGTCACAGCGCGGCTAGGCTCCGGCTGCCGGGCCCGGCCGGGGGCGCGAGCACCCCCTCCCCGATCCCTCTTATTGCAGTGTTGGAACTAAGAGTTCGGATCCCTGATACCTCCCCCCCCACCCCTAGTTTAAGTGCGTTTAGTCCAGGGGTAGCCCGGCAGGCCTTGGGGCTCTGCAGGGCCAAGCATCTGTGCCGATCCTGCCGCTTGGGTCACAAGGTTCGGTGTATCACTTTATGTCTCTTAACCTTTATGTCTGTGTAAGACCTTGTTGAGTGTGTCGCCCCTTGGGTGTGTCAGGTGGGTTTTGTACCTGGTCGTGGTGTCCATCTCTGGGAGAGGCCGGGCGGCCCGGGCCCAAGGCTTCATAGTCGCCGGAGGCCTGAGAAGCATGGTCGGCCTGGGTTGTGAGGTACTGGCACATGCCAGTTGATTGAGACCCTCTCGGCGTGTTGGCGACCGCTGCAGCCTGTTGGGGCTTGTTAGTTTTGCCCATTGTTGCGGTAGTGGAGCTGTTTAGGCGGGTATGGGAGCTGAGCTGGCCGGGAGCTCGTGGTTCACGCCGCCATTTCGTCAGGCGTCCAAGCCACGCCCCCAAATGGTATGTTTATTTTTATTTTTAGAGGTACTTAGTTAAAGGACCCCCTCATTATTTTTAGGGTGAAGGGGTAGGTAGGGGTTTATTTTTTGGGGGGAGGGGGTGACAAGGGGTTTGGGAACCCCACCCGCCGCTCAGGGGCTGGGGGCCAGGGGAGAGGACATTAGGTCCCCCCAAATTTGTATTTAGGGCACCCACCCACCACTCAGGGGTGGGGGCCACGGGGGAGGACATTAGGTCCCGCCCTTATTCTAGTTTAGGGCCCTCACCCACCGCTCAGGGGTGGGGGCCGGGGGGGAGGACATTAGGTCCCCCCCCTTATTCTAGTTTAGGGCCCCCACCCACCGCTCAGGGGTGGAGGTCAGGGGGGAGGACATTAGGTCCCCCCCCCCAATTTTTATTTAGGGCCCCCACCCACCGTTTAGGGGTTGGGGCCGGTGGGGAGGACAATAGGTCCTCCCCCCTTTTTTTAATTTATGGCCAGCACGTCGTGGGTGGGGCCTCAGGAGGGGGGCCTTTTTTTTTTTTTTAACAGTGAGCAGCCACAGGCGTGATATAGCGAGTAGGGGCATAATTTACTAATACTAAGGAATCCTGAATTGGTCTTTCAGCCTTTTAGTAGATAGCTCCCTAATACCGTGGGAATTCGGGAGTTATCTACTTATTCATCCCTGTCATTACATGACTGGCTAAATTTAAATGAAATTAAATACAATGTAACATTTTTCTTCTTTCACTGGGTAAGTATATTAGTACTTAGGCAATACTGTGCTTCGGAACTTCGGCACTTTGACACCTCAGAACTTCGGCAATTCGGCACTTCGGCAATTCAGCTATTTGGACATTCGGAACCACCCGAATGTCCGAATTACCCAAAATTCGGACCGGAACGAATTGCACGTCTATTAAAAATGACCTTTTGAAATATCTTTTTGTATACCCAACGGCATTTGATTTTTTGAGGGGTTTTTCAAAAGACACTAGATTGTGAACACTATTCCCCAAATGCTCCCCTACTTGAACGTTGATCAAAAGATCAACATTGTTTGTTATCAAATTATATGGTATTCCCATGCATGGCGGTGGCTTCTACATTGTAGCCCGCTCAAGCTCTCTTCTCTCTCGCCTGTCCTCTGCCAAACCGCCGACAAATAATTTCCTTTTCCGCTCCCCTCTCTACATAGAGAAGGGTTATCTTTATGGAGTCTTGCGGGAGTGAGCGAAAGAGTTCTGCGGGAAACTTGTGGTCCTCCAATGCAAGTTACTGATACTCAACCCACACTGCAAGCTTTAATAGGAAATGCACCTATTCTCTTTGTGAAAGAAACCAATCTTACAGCATAAAGAAATGCATCTGCACATGTTAACTGCAAATTAAACCCAACGCAACCTCTCAAATTCAAGCCGCAAGTGGGCCATGAGTACTTTTCAAGGGAGCATATTAATCAAATGTAAAGTACAGGAAATCATTGCTCGAATTTTTGTTTAACTCGTTTGAAAAAATGGTTTACTTTGAGCAGACCATTATGTATGGTTTATTATGAGAATGACCATTTTGTATTATGGAAATGTTCCTATGGATTCTCCCTTCATATAATCATCCAAAATGTCTTTGGCAAAGTACACTGAGGAATTACCTATATAAGAGGTTACTAATTATCTACACCAATGGTTCCCAACCTTTCTTCACTCGAGTTTCCCTTGGCAGCCCATTTCCATGAATAGTATCCCGCATATTAGTAAAATGTTTGATATTGATATAGTGGCTGTTATTTCAAATGTCCACGTCTTTGTCTCCCCTTTTTCTCTACCCCATGTTCCCCTGCTTCTTTTCTGCACCAAGCTTGCCTTGCTTCTTCTTTGCCCCAAGCTCTCCCAACTTCACCTCTGCCACAAGCTACCCTGCTCCTCTTCTGCCCCAGGCTCCCCTGCTCTTTTCCTGCCCTGGGTTCCTCAAGCTTCTCCAGGTACATGCAGATACACAGATACAAACACTGACACACACGCGGATGGACAGACACAGATACAATAACTGACATACATACAGATATAGGCACATAAAATCACATAAAGACAGAGATACAAACACTGACAAGCAATCACTGACACATTCAAATGCACAAACACACTAATACACACTGACACAGTTGCACAGGCACACTGATACACACTGACACACATACAGATGTACAGACACACATATACAAACTGATACATATACTGACACACATGCAGCAGGTGTACAGATACAAACAATGATGCACATACAGTTTCACAGATTCACTGACACACATACAGATGTACAGACACACAGATAGAAACAATGGCATACACACACTGACACACCGGCAGATACATAGATACAAACACAGGCACAAACCGATCCGGACACACAGATACAAACACTGACACACACAGAGATACAAACACTACATACATATAGACACTAGAAACACATATACAGATCAAAATGTTAGCCTTCCTCTAGTTTCCTACCTAAGCTGTAGCTGGTGGGAGTTGGGGGCTTGTTCCTCTTCCCACCCCCTTCCAGGGACAATTGAGTACAATTATAATGTATTACTTTCATTTTTTAAAGAATGTCCTTTAACCCTGCAATTGTAATTATTGCATTTTTTTTATATATATAAACTGTCTTGGAAGGTTAACTCTATCTCTAGTGGCTTTCTACTAGACCTCCACTAGAGGGACTTCTGGGTGGTTAGGCGACTTTTGGTCGCCTAACTGACGCTAGACATCCTTTACGCTATGTGTGACCCAACGTCACCCAAAACCCCAAAGAAAAGCATTATACAATGCTTACCTATGGGAGAAGTCCTAATGGCAGTGCAGCAAGAAGTGGAGCCGGAGCCTGCATCAGCGCCGATGTCTCTCGGTGCTGGAATCAGGTAAATGACAAAGTGACAAAGAGGGGTTTTTAACCCCTTCTACACCACAGAGGGGGGAGGCGTAAGTAGGGGGGTTGGGGGAGACTATTGGGAGCTGTTTCTTGGCATTATAGTCTCCCTTTAATCACCAAATCCTGGGTCTTGTCTGGTAAAAGGTAGGAAAAAAATAGAGAATGTCCTTTTGGAGAGATATGCAACAATAAGAGATTAGAATGCTGGAAGTAGAAGTGTAGTACGTTAAATGTTTTTGAAGAAGTAAATATAGGTCAAATGTGCACTCACATTTTTTGAAAAGCTTAGACTTAGCTCCAATTTGGAACACATAGGTGAAATGATTGCTGCCTTGGAATACAGCATAGTACAGGCTTTGCAGGTAGTCCTTATGGTGGTGGATATTCTAGTAGAAATATGCAAGAAAAATAAAATATATATAGTTCAGTATGTCGAGCAAATAGGGAGGATTAGCTGAATATAAAAATGTACACTCACATATTCT